CAGAAGTGATCACATGGATAAGTTTTGGGATGTAATACTGTATATTTTTTATTTTTTCTCTACTTTCTGTTTACTAATAACATCTAATATGTTAGATTTCTAAAATAAGAAATTTTAATGAGTTTGGATTTTGACGCTTATATAGGCAGAAGGACAGAGTGATATCAAGAAAGTAATAAAACACCTTTTAATAAGATGAGATTGCCATCTTTAATGTCAAAAATACAGCCAAACAAGTCCCAAAAACTGCAATGGGTGCTAGTGCGACTGATTCGACAAGAATAGTGAAGTTCACAAAGCTATCAGCAACCACAGTAATGTTAGGTATTGCATCTGTTTACTATTTATATACTCATTTATTCTCAACATTTAGTTGCTATTTTTATTTTTTGAATGTTGAATATGAAGATAAGATAGGAGTTAGGACGTGTTAGACTTCCTAGAGAACTGCTTTTAGTTCTTGTTAACATCAATCATTTAGCAGACAACATGCTGATCCATTAACAACTCCTTTTGTCTTAGTGGACCTCTTGATAAATTAGCTTATTGGTTCACAGTTATTATGTAAATTGAACTGTATGAGTGTTATTTGTTTTTTCCTCCCTCCTCTCTATTCCCAACTTGTGCAGAGAATTGACGTGAGTTAGCATGGAGTGGTATACCACCATATATTTGCCCTGATGTCTGGCAGCTTCTCTTAGTGTGATTAATACTCTTCTGTTGGTTTTATCTTTAGGATGCACGATGATCTTAAACTTTTAAATTGATTGGCATCTACTGGTTATGATTGTTGTAAGATGCATCTGTGAAAGATTATGCAGACACTACAATATCAATCTGCACTTTATTTATTTTGGGGAACTTTTATTACTGTGTTCACTGCTTGAACTTTGAAAACATGTATTGAGAAGTAGGATTGCTGTCCCTGTTGTAATTTTGGTACCCCTACCATTTGATTTGAAACTGAACAGTTCATTATTTAGAGTACTCTTTACTGATCAAAATACTCGTTACCTAATCTGGTTTGTTATTCCTATATATGTATTAAATATTGTTTGTTGCTTGAAATTTAATTATGAACTGACAACAGGGATATGCACCACCTAATTCAGATGATGAAATAAACATGCTTCGTCAGTTGTTGTTCTGCTATCAAATTATGTATTTAATATCTTCTGCCTCATTCATGAAAGTCGCGTTGCTGTGCATGTTGGATTATCGTTGATTGTCCAAGAAGTGTGCCAGATATCTGTTTCTTTCAGCAAGTGCAAGTTCAGAAATCTTTGGAGTGTATTCTCTATACAAGGTTTGGTACTATTCTATCCTTTAAGCTTTCTTTTTGGATAAAAAAGAAATATTATTAAGTACGAGAATAGATAAAGTACAATGTAAGAGGATAAGAGTCTCTTAGAGCCTTCTATTACAAGAACGCCAAAATGTAGTTTCCGCAAAATCCGATAAATATCAGGCTATTAACCCCACCCCACCCCCCCACCCCCCCTCCCCAAGTTCCTATATAACGTAGAAATGGATATATCAGTAAGATTCGTGATCTTAGCCGATAAGGAGGCCAGAAATTTCATCTGCTCCATTTAGATTCGGGACTCATGAAACAATCCTCAAAAATCCTGTTGTTCCATTTGAGCCAAAAATCCACAATCCCCTAAACAGAGTACCACGACTTACTGTTTTGGTTCTGTTCTCATCTCCTCTCCATTTAGATTCGGACTCATGAAACAATCCAGAAGAGAAAGGGACAACCCACACATTAGCCTTTTCTTTTTATGAAAAAAGAAATAAACTTCAAGACTCGTGAAAGAAATCTCTTGCTTGATTCAGCTGGACTTTCTGCATCACAATCTCCAAAATCCATCCAGACTGCTTGCTCCTAGACTCTAATATTTTTTCTTATTGGATTTCTTTTTGGCTCAAGTTAAGAGAGCATGCAAGTAAGGGGCTTGATAACGCTTCTATTCAGTACTTACTATATCTCTGACTTTCTAGAATTGAAATGAAAGTTACCTCTGTAGATTCAGAGATTTAAAGGTGTGGGTTTAGAAGTGGAAAACTGGCAACATGGCTAAGGTTTTTTGGTTCGTAGTAAACAGTTAGGGATAAATTATTAGGGCAGTATTGTGGTACATTCTCTGTGCTTTAGCATGCATATTCATCAGTTTGCCTCCGCATCCTGATGGTGTTGTCATCTGTAGTGTACTTGGAGGTTTCTTAGTTGATGTCAAAGTCCATATAATTCGTTCTCTTATTGGTTATCAAGTTATTTGTTGGGCTTTCTGATTTAGGTGGAGAGAGCCGGGACACATACTTGAAAGAAAATTACAGAGAAACATACTGACACTCGGATCTCATAATCAATCA